TTCAGGTCTACATATGCAAATAAGGGATCGAAAGTGGCATTCAATGATTGGATAGTTACAGGAAATGGTTACTGTTGCGTTCTAGTGGAGCTCTATATAAGCAGGCTGGCTGAACCCTTCAGTTCAGTTCTGTTCTGGCCTGTGAATAAACAAGAGCTGTCTGAAGAATCGCTGTGTCGTCTGATATGTTCACCTACAACTTAACACTTTAAACATATGGTGTGTACACAGCTGTTGTCTTTTTTGGACACACCTGCTAGCTGCTCTGGGGTCCCTTTTTGGCTCAGTATTGTGCTAAATTTATTTGAATTCATTTCCAACCTGCCTTCTCCCTACAATACTCATTTTGTAAAGTTCAAAGATCCCGTAAATAAAGGGGTTGGGCAGTCATGAGGGTCATGGCTCACTGGTAGAGCATCTGCTTTCTGTGCAGAAGGTCTCTGCTTGAATATCAGCTGTCTCTGCAGATGTTTCCTGCCTGAAGCCCTGGACAGCTGCTGCCCATCAGTGCAGGCAATATTGCGCCTCAGGCAGGAATGGTTTGACACACCACAGGTAGCCCTGCTAGCCTGTTGCTGCAACATAAACAATAGTCTTGTAGTATGAAACTGACAAACGAGTATTATTAAGCTTTTGTGCACTACAAAAGGCACATTTCCTTTTATTACTCTCACCTGCTGTCTCTTGTTTTCTATTCTCTGAGGTTTGTTAAAGTATTCTTATTTGGCTGACTTTGCAAGATAATAGTTCCAGTGTGGTGTAGTGGTTAAGAGCAGTAGTCATGTAATCTGGGTAACCGGGTTTGCGTCTCCGCTCCTCCACATGCAGCTGCTGGGTGACCTTGGGCCAGTGACATTTCTTTGAAGTCTCTCAGCCTCACTCACCTCACAGAGTGTTTGTTGGGGGGGAGGAAGGGAAAGGAGATTGTGAGCCGCTTTGAGACTCCTGAAGGGGAGTGAAAGGCGGGATATCAAATCCAAACTCTTCTTCTTCTTCTTCTTCTTCCAAAATGTGATAAGCTGCTAGCACATTTGCAAAGCTAAGCAGGGTCTGGTATTGCTTCAAACTGGATGGGGAGCTGTGTGTTGAGTTTCCAGCATCGGACTAGATGACCCCTGGGGTTCCCTTGAATTCTATTATTCTCAATATTAATTTTTAAATTATATTTCATTACTTTCACCAGTTTCAAATTTGTTATCCATTTCTCTTTGGGATTTGGCTCCCTGCCTTTCCTTCCATGCTGTTTTTGTACGCTTCCCTTTTACACACTGCATGATATCACCTATTTCACCTAATACAGGTTCCTCTATTATATCACATACTATTAATTTCTATCATTCTCATTTTGCTTTTGTTTTGCTTTTTCCCTCCCCGCCCCAAACAGGCTTCCCTTCTCCGCTTTAGCTGAACCTCCCGCATTCTCTCCTTCAAGTGCCAGCGCACATCTCCCGAAGCATCTCTATGTCCCACTAGGCGCAGTTAGCTCCGCCTAACTACTGGCGACGCATGCGCGGTCTGCCGCGACGCCGTTGGAGGCTAGTATGGCGGGGGCGGGGCAAAGGGGGCATGCATTCCCCCTGAGTCACCCCATCGGGGTGCTACAAATTACAAACAATTGTGTCTCCGGGTGGGTAGGCTAGTAAATTATTTGTGGGCTCGCGCTTTCGTGGTCTTTCCCTCCCAAGACTAAATCTGGAAAAACGTTTGTCAGCAAATCAGGTAAAAGTATAATTAGATTTTGTAAAAGAACAGATGCACTGATGAATATCTGGACGCTTGCATCTGATTACTTGCACAAAATGTACCACACTTTGACCCCGATTTATTTTTGTTGTAATAATAGATCTTCCGCATCCCATGTGTTGGACAAGTAAGGGGTTATTATGTGGACTGGAGGATGGTACGTGATGTTAAGAGAAGGAAGATGGCTTTTGAATATGCAGATCAGAGGCTGCGGCTGAATTCCCTTAGGAAAAACAAAATTTTGCCCAAAGAACTCCAGGTAAGATGAAAATACTGTTTTAAGATATTCTTGATTGTAGCAATGAACCAGGCATCCCCTCCCCATCTACATCACAGATTCAAAAATATTTTTTATTTCAGCATGATATAACCATTGTAGGTTATGAACAGGTCATGAATAGAATCATCTCCTGATTCATTTCCCACAGTACATCCATTGCTTTTTACATACTTTTTTTTAGTCATTGGTTTATCCAATTTCTATTCTTTCAAGGAGCTAAGAGTCCACTAAGCAAATAATACGATGGAAGCAGCTAGCCAGTTGTGTGCAGTTACAGTATTACACAGAGGATCAGTTTGGAATGCAACCTACTGCTTGGGAATCCTGTAATTTTGTTTTAAGTTATTGTGTCTTCATTGTGGTGGGTTCCCTGAAGTGGCATCTATTATGCATTGAAAACCTTTCACATGGTGTCTTTCAATTAAAAATTCCAGGCAGTTTTTTACTGGTTATTCTGTTCCAGACTGTACTTTTTTAAAAATTTAAAAGGCATCATGAAAGCTCTTTTGTTTTCTATATGCTTTTAGAATTTAACTGTTGGTTGTTCTCCATAGTGATTCAGTCCTTTTACAAAATTCCTCTTTCTTTTTCTAAATGTATTATTGTAGGTAGTGTTTTTGTTGACTACCTGTGTACATGTGGCATTTGAAGGCTCCAGGAACAAACTGCTAAATTGTTAAAGAAAACAACACTGTTATAGTAATTTATTACAACACTAGGGCTGACCTGCCCTCCGCCATTCCTCACCCATTAACTTCCTAGACCTTCCCCTTCCCACACTATGCAACTACTAAGATTGCTTTTCACTGAAGCTGCTTATCTCTTCAGTTTTGCAACCCTACTTTGCGCTCATTTTTACCTTCACCCCATGCCCATGCTTCTTCCCTCTCCCTTTGTGCAAGCAGCCTTGCACACAAACTTCCCACACAGTAACATCCTGTATCTAACTCCACCTACGCATTGCAACTATGCACCCTTTTCATCTTCTGCCCAAGTATGAAGCCACCATCCCTTTCATCTTCCACCCTATTCCCACGCCTCCTACTCCCTCTTTTTTCACAAACCACCTTGCACCCCCAATTTCATCTTCACTTCCTTTTCCCCTCCATATTTCCTCATTTTTCTCAACTCTCCCTTGCAAAAAAATTAAGAAGATATGAGGATCGCTTGAAGGAGTTGGTTATGTTTAGCCTGGAAAAGAGGAGACTGAGATAGCCATTTTCTTAAGGGCTGTCACATGGAAGTTGGAGCAAGCTTATTTTTTCCTGCTCTGGAGGGTAGGACTCGAGGCAATGGCTTCAAGTTACAAGAAAGGAGATTCCGACTAAACATTTGGAAAAACTTTCTGACAGTAAGAGGAGTTCAGTAGTGGAACAGATTCGAGACACACGTTATTTTTGCCAGTGAGTTTGCAGATTCCTAGCTGGAGGAATTAAAGCTTTGATTTGTCACAACCATAGTGGTTGTAAAACTGCTGCTGCTGTCACATTTACTTCCTGTGTTGCTAAACTTTTAAGAGACAGTGTCCTTGTGAATGATATATTCTACATGTGTCTCCCAATTTACACAGGGGTTACATTCTGGACCTCTGTATGAGTCAGTGAAATGTGTGTAAATGGGAAGCACCTTAGAAAATCCGAGTGGCTTGTGAGGAGGACCCCCCTCCCAGCCCAAAGAGGATGTCCTCTTCTGGCTCTGCAAAGGGTCTCCTCGCAAGTCACTAGGACTCTCTATGGTGCTCCCCATTTCCAGGTTTCAGCGGGTTGAATGCAAATAGATGGTGTGTAAATGGGGTGCTGCCTGTAGTAGCTCCAGGACTACCGATGGGTATTACCGCTGTTTTTATTTGTTCCAGGAAGTGGCTGAAAAAGAGATTGCTGCCCTTCCCCGGGACACCTGCCCAGCGAGGATCCGTAATCGATGTGTTCTGACATCCCGTCCACGAGCTGTAGTGTGGCGATGGAGGTTAAGCCGAATTGCCTTCCGCCATCTGGCTGACCATGCGCAGCTCTCTGGAGTACAGAGAGCAATGTGGTGAGCCACCACCAACAAGGCTTTTCTTCAAAAAAGACAAAACTGAGTTCTATTTCAACTCCTAGGATGAATTAAAGACACGTTCTATAACTTGCAGCATGTAAGGAGTGGGGGGGGGATAGACCCATTGGTAGAAGACCCTTAGCTAGAAGGGGGCAACCTTGTTTAATTTTGTCAAACCTTCCACACTTGCTCCTCTTGTATATTTAAAAATGACATCGAAAAATAAAGCAGTCCCACGCTTGGATTTTGTTTGTCCTTTGCATTTAAGGTTTGATATATAACATTACATTGTTGCAGGGTGTATATTGCTAGCAAATCTGAAAATATCACAGAGACACAGAATTCAGATACACTACATAGTTACTACATATATTTTCTTCCTGACTAAGCTGCTAAATGGGTCGGTGCAGCTCTCACTGCCGCTAGATGGAGTGCATGGTCCAAAAACAGTAGCTAGAAACATGAGGGTTTAAGTAAATATAGTTATCCTATAGTTTGCAATTCCTGTTGGTGGGTCAAGGACGTCAATGTCCTGTTATTTTGACTACTGCAACAATTACATTACAGCTTGTTCAGTCCATCGCTGTCCTCACTGAATATCTCCACAAGGACAGATTGGCACAAATCCTCATCAGCACAGAGGAGGAAGCCAGAGTGAAAGATCAATAACCCTGCCCCCTGGAGCCTCCCAGCAATGTACTTAACAGTCCTATTACATGCTAGTTAATTTGCATGCTTCAATAGTGCTCTTTGGGCACCATCAATCTCTGAGAAAAGTATATGAAGCTTTCTGTTTCCCTTGTCTGTACATACAGATTACGCATACATGCCCTGAAACCTATTTCCTCAATGGTTAGAAGTGAAAGTTTCTTACAGAACTTGGGCAGGTGTGGGTAGTAAGTAGATGTTGATTTCAGACAATAGACAGTTGCACTCAAACTAGCTTACTTATTTTTATCAATTTCACAAAAAGCACTTAAAGCTTTATGGGAAAAGGGCAACACATTTGAAGGAAAAGCTTTTCTGCATGCTTTATTTCCCATCTCCAACCTGAAATGTAAAACTTGTTTTTACGCAGAAGATTATGTAAACAGCACACTTTCTCTGATCTCAGCAGAAGCCCCATACAAAAGATGTACATTTAAGATGGGTATTTGTTCAAATATCTATTGGTAAATCATCTTTGACTTGCTTTTCTCGGCTCTCAACCCAGGCTTTGTTAATTGACCTCTTCATTTCATCATCGCCTTCAGCATACATCTTTTTCAGGAGATTCATCAACCCTTCACTCGGGTCCGAGGTGTCATAAGCAGCTTTCCTAGAGCATACAAACATACAGAAAATAATTACATCACCAGTTACACACAAAGTTTGGTATGCATTAAGATTTAAATACAGTGGTACCTCGGGTTACATACGCTTCAGGTTACAGACTCTGCTAACCCAGAATTATTACCTCGGGTTAAGAACTTTGCTTCAGGATAAGAACAGAAATCGTGCTCCGGCAGCAGGAGGCCCCATTAGCTAAAGTGGGGCTTCAGGTTAAGAACAGTTTCAGGTTAAGAACGGACCTCCAGAACGAATTAAGTACTTAGCCCGAGGTACCACTGTACAAGTAAGCAAACAGTAAAATAATGAGAGCTCCAATCCTAAACCTGTTTACCTGAAAGTTTTATTAAAAATCAGTGGAACATATACAGAGGGATTGTTAGGATTAGACTAAGAGCAACTGGCTGGGAGAGAGGAAGCCTGGATAACTTTCAATTACTGTCTTGTTTTCCCCCACTTCTGCTTACAAGCCTCCCATCTCGTAAATATGAATTTGTGCCCTCTCTTATAATCAAAGTACACATGTTAAAAGTACATAGATCAGACCTCAGAGAGTAAGAGGTGGGAACACGAAAAAGTACAGACGTTAAACCTGTCACTTGCGCTTATTATTCCTTCTGCATTACACCACACTTGCAGCCACTCTGGTAAACTATCCATATATCCCTCAGGAAGCTTGTTTTGTATATTGAGAACCTTGGGTTTTGCTACAGGACAAATTAGTTCCTGAACATCTGGCATTCAATGTAGTATTAATTCCAGAAAGTGACATGGCTCTTTTGTGCAGCAAAACAAGCAACCAGTTTTTGCATATATTTAGTGGAATGTTAAGTATTCGTGTTCTTGTAAGGACACAGGGAAGATTTCATTAAAAATACTGTGGCCTGTTTCAGGTATGAGTAGCAAGAACCACCAGTAGGAAAAAACGGTTTCTGCAATAAATGTTACAAGCAAAGATTAAAAGCTCATTGTGTTGCAGTTTAGAAAGACATGGAATTGAGCCAGCTTAGCCCAGCGGTTCCATCGACCAACGCATAGCTTGGATCCTGCAATCGCCCACAGGCAGCGGTTTGAAACCTGCAGGCACTGACTGGCCTTTTTAAAAAAAAAAAAAATTAAGACATGGAATTGTATTCTATTATGAAAATGAACAAGTTCTAAATAAGATGATCTGACTTAAAGAGATACCTATCAGGAATACTCAGCAGACAAGATAATTGAAGTGGCACAATTTGAGCCACTAATGGAACCTGGATTAGACTTTTGCCTCAAAGTCTTTCGATTGCCACAACTGGAAACACCACGACAATAACTCTCAGCATCAAACACCAGCTCAACTGACAAATATTTTGAATGGATCATCACCACTAACAAGCCTAATCTGCAAGTCCTTTTTTTCTACCAAACACAATGCAACAGAACAAGAAATAGAGGGGCACTTACTCCTTCTCCTTCGTCTCTTTTTCAACTTTTGTTAGGCACTCCCATTTTTCCTCTTGCTTTTTCCTACATAATATCAATATCATATCTGTTTTGATCTGCAAAAAGAAGAAAAGCACTACAAAAGTGAAACTGGGTGGCAGAATTACCAAACAGGCTAAGTATCAATAACTTTATTTTAATAGTGTTTAAAGAATGACAATTCAATTATGTGAGTTAAAATGCAGAATACGGACAACGGGCAGCAACAACAAAAAAGGGGCAAAATGAACAGGAGAGATGGTGTTGTATGAACAATTTTCGCTCACATGTAAAGTATAAAATAGACTAATCCTGTGCAACACTTTTGCCAGCCAAAGCCACCCACTGAATTTGTTGTGAAACATTCAGAATGGGGCTCGTGTTAGCAGTATGTTCGTTGTCAGTAATTTGAGACAAGGTAATTGTTTTCACCAATCTGAACATTTTTTTGCCTTAATTCTTTACACAAATCTCAGAATAAATGCTCTCTTATATACAAATGTTGTTTCTCTACTAGACAGGTCACATGATTGTAATTTGAAGGTTGTGAGATACAGTATGTGCATTCTCTTGGGCACAGCAAAAATTTCTTTCAGCTGCACCCAAGAGAAAGAATCTATCCTTATCAAGTTCAATTGTTGCTGTTGTTGTTTAGTCGTTTAGTCGTTTAGTCGTGTCCGACTCTTCGTGACCCCATGGACCAGAGCACGCCAGGCACTCCCGTCTTCCACTGCCTCCTGCAGTTTGGTCAAACTCATGTTTGTAGCTTCGAGAACACTGTATCAAGTTCAATACTGCCTGCTAAAGCCTAAGAAACCACATATAACATGAATGAGACTAGGCCCCTTGGATAGCATCAAACAAAGTGCTTCTGCTAGTGCAGGGACTTGTGACTGTGCAAAGTAACTCCACTCCCTCTCCCACAGCTCTCCAGAGCAGATTTAGGGAGGGGGAAAACCATTGTGCTAATGGAAGCTCTTCTTTGGATACCGTTCATTCTTCCCAACAGACTGGTTTCTTTGTGAAAGACTCTCTCTTGTTATGTCAAGTGGTACAGCCCAGATTTGTGACCTCAGGGACAAGTGGGCCTCTGAGTTATGCGGCTGACTGTCCTCTATTGCCCAGTAATATTGAAAACAGAACATAAATATATGGGCAGGAAGCCTATCAAGAAAGGGTATCTATCCATCTTGAAACCACAAGCTACAGAACTGATGGCTTACCCCCTAGCAAGTGCCTAATGACTAATCTGCAGCAGGTAGTAACACAGGAAGCAGCCCTAAACTGTGGAAATCGTAGGAATCTACAACGTTAGCATGTACTTGAAAAGAAGTGTTTACCTTCCACGAGCTGCTTTCCACAGAGATGGGTTTCAGAAGATTGTTGAATGTCATAGTGTAGTTCTTGTTATTCAGATTCTTCACCAGCAGATCAAATGATCTAGAAGGAAGAAAAGATTAATCATAAAGGCACAGCCATGATCTATCAAATTCAGAGAAAGCTGACATGGAAGGGGGAGGGGATAAATTGCTCTGCACCTAAAATCTAGTATCACAAATCTAGAATCACATATAAGACATAACTGAAGCAAAAGAGCTCAAAAGGGAAAAGCAACAATAAATACTACAAAGATAACAGAAGCGGGTAAAAGTCAAGCCCAGAGATATTCGCATTAAACTGTGTAAGAAAATTAGTGTGACTTTAAGACACAGTAAATAACGATTCAGTGACGCAACTGAGTTGGCTAGATGGTAATAGACAAGTCCTGTGAGGCAAAACAGCAAAATAAATTGGGTGAGGAGGGAAAAGCACCCATCAGATCAAAGTGTCCAGCAATTAACCAGAGCTCAATCAACAGAAGCAATTATGGCAAGCAGACAAGAGAAACAAAGTGGAGATGGAAGTAAGGAAAGCAGAAAAAATGGAAATGGGACTCAGAGGAGGAACGAAGAGCTGGGGGGCGAAATCTAAAGAAAAAGGGCATCAATATAAATAATTATGAGAAAGCATATGGTACTTCAAAATCAAGAGGGGTAGCAACTATAATTTCAAAGAGCTGAGGGTTTAGTATATTAAAGATGAAGAAAGATCCTGAAGGAAAATACATTATAATTCAGGGAACAATGGCAGGGGAAGAATACACTATAATTAATACTTCTGCTCCTAATGAAAATCTGGTGAATTTTTTTCATAAAATGTTTAAGGAAATGGAAGATTTGAATATATGGGCTATATGATTATGGCAGGAGATTTCAATATAGTATTAGATAAACAATTGGATAAGTCAAATCCAGAGGAAAGATGTAATAACATTACAGGATTAGCTAAAATTATGAAAAGGAAAGATATGAAAGATGTTTGGAGAGTGATGAGGGGAGGAGAGAAGAAATTTTCTTTCTTCTTACCAATGCATAAGACCTATTCAAGGATCAATTATATCTATTTTTCAAAATATATTCATATACTGTACATCAGTTTGCGAAGGAAATTTAATACTTGGGAACTATTTCACTAGCTTCTGGAACATCTTAATATGGGAAGAAGCAGCCAGGGACAAACAAAGCAAGAAATGATTGAAGACACAATCTGTACTTCCTGGCATTTAATGAAACACCCACCTTTCTGTGAAGTGCACCTTCACATTCTCAGCTGGCAGATGCTGAACTCCACTTAAAGTGATGTAGATTTTCAAAAACTTATCTGACTGATCCCAAGCTAAAGGGATTAAAAGAAAGCTGTATTTATTACATTCATTCCAATCTGCTCTCCCTAGGTGATGATCTTAGTGAGCAATTTCTTCATCTTCTAAGATTGTAGCAGGCACTGCCCACACCTCTGCAAACAATTCTGGCAAGGCAACCATGAGGGCTAGAAACATGTTTGTTTTTAATGTAAACTGGAGTTGCCAGGAAACAATTACCGTATGTTCCGGTGTATAAGACGACTTTTTAATCCAGGAAAATCTTCTCAGAAGTCGGGGGTCGTCTTATACACCGGGTATGGTTGTGGGGGTCGCCTGAGTGTTGCCCTCCACAGCGGTAAAGTCCAATGGGAAGCTCTCCACCGGCTGCCCATGCTCCCCCCACAAGACATGGGACGGGGGGGGGGCAGCTCCTCCGACGTCCCTCGGAGCACCTTCGAAGCAGAGGCAGGAGGAGCCGGAGCGAACCATTGTCCCCAAAAGAAGCGGGGGGGGAGGGAAATCCCTTCTCACAACTCGCTATGCCTCCCAAGTGCCAAACTCCCTGCTCACCCACATGGACTACTGAAGCAACACCTGCCTTGGGCGACCCCAGTGTGTATGCACATTTTTTACATTTGTGTGTGTCTCCGCTCTCTCTCACTGCCCCCCCCCCATGGATGGACACTGCCGAGCTCAGGCAAGAGAGAGAGAGAGAGAGAGAGAGAGAGAGAGAGAGAGCACGCTTTCAGGCAGCTGGTGTGAGGGGGGGCACCTGCGCGAACTGCACTTACGAGCCCTACGCTGTTTCTCTTCCCTCTTACGAAAGGGCGGAGGGGAGTGGGAGCTAGAAGGGGGGGAGCCGCGGAGGGGGGCACATGGGTCTCTTTCATGCGTGCGCGGGGCAGGTAAGCGGCTGCTTGGGTGGCCGTTGGGGCTCCGTGAGGCAAGGCAGGTGGTTCCGGTGAGGGAAAAGAGGGGCGGCAGCTTCTCCTCCTCCTTTCCCACCCTCACACGGAAAGCGATGGAGGGAGCCAGATCATGAGGGGGAAACATTGACTATTATACCAAGAGAGAGAGATATACCGTATGTTCTGGCTGCCGCCGAGGATGGAGGAGGGATGAGGCAAGCAGGGCTTTGAAGTCCTCCCCTCCATCCGCCCCCCCCCCCGATCCTCCTGCGAGGCCCCCAGCGCCCCAGCTGCGGTGTGCGTACAGGGATGAAAAGACTGGCTGCTTCTAGTTGGCTGCAGGCGTTGGAAGAGGGATAATCTAATACGGCGAGTATATCCCAAACTCTATATTTTAACTTGAAAAGTTGGGAGTCGTCTTATATGCCCAGTCGTCTTATACGCCGGAAAATACGGTATGCATCAAGTAACAGTTATTATGGTTTTCATGTGCTCATGTGGGATCACAAAAAATCCCTTGTTCATGACATAAAAAGTATATCAATCTCTGCACAATAACCTACTTTTCCATATATAATCCAACCTATGATTCATGGATTAAAAAATTATATACATTGGCTGTGATGCTAAGCAGTTTACTAAGCAGTTTACAAGATGTTGATATTCTCTTGAATCTCTTGTATTAATTCAAAAGGTATGGGTGGATCAGACCTACCATAATTGTTGATTTTCACTGTGTATCCTGTTGGAGGTGGTCTTTCTTCTTCAGATGTTTCTGCTTTTATTTTGATTGGTAACTGGTTCTTGATTTCTCTTTCTATCTTATTCTTTTCTGACAGCAACACATCATGAACCCTCTTTCTTGATGCTTTTTTCAAAAGCTCTTTCACCTCATCTAAATCTTTATGTAGCTGGATGAAACACATAGAGCACACAAATCTGTAAACTGCCTTGAAAGCAAGTGCTGATAAAGAATTAAAACAATCCATACAGTGCAATCAAAGCACGAAGTGCAGAACAACAAACAGTTAAAACCACAAAAAGCACATTAAGGAAATAACTTAATCAGGCCAACTAAAGTATCACTAAATATCGTACAAAGAAGCCCATGATATCATGTGCTGTATTCACCACCCTCTGTAAAGACTTTCTGTCCGTGGCTGTCAAGCCAACGTACCACACTGTGATACAACATGAGAGGACAATTTCTATTGTGGACCGGTAGAAGGAGGTCATCAATTGTTGTTTACTTCCCCTAAATTTATTTCTCAGCTTGAAGGACAACTGCAGTGATTCCATAGGTCACCATTCCACAGTAACTGCAGCGAGCCCTAAGAAGTCCAGGGCATCATGCATGGCTAAGGCAAGATTCAACCAGAGACGGCCCAGTTTTATTGCTAGCTGTTTGTCAAGTCATGCAGGGCCCTTCCAAGCCTGTTCGCAAGTTTCTGAGCTATATATATATATCAGTCAAAAGAAATAAATGAAAAAGCAGCATCTTAAAGGGTGAATATTTATTAATTATTAATTACATGTATATCCCACCTTCTTTCCTCCCCCCCCACCATGCAAGGAGCTCAAGAAGGTGAACATAGTCCTCCTCCCACTTCACCCTCAAAACAACAACCCTGTGAGGCGGGTGTGGGTGAGAGCCAGTGAGCAGCCCAAGGTCCCAGTGTTCGAAATTCCCCAGGCGCCAGGCACATTTTGCTACTGGTGTGGGTCCAGTTATAAATAGAGCCATACCTTGGTTCTTGATCATAATCTGTTCAACTTCCTAAAACCAAGGTGTGGCTTCTGATTGGCTGCAGGAGCTTCCTGCACTCAAGCAGAAGCAGCACTGGACGTTTGGCTTCCAAAAAACGTTCGAAAGCCCAAACACTTAGTTCTAGGTTTTTGGCATTCGGGAACCAAAACATATGTGTACCAAGGCGTTCGGGAACCAAGGTACGACTGTACATGGAGATGTCTGGGCACCAGGTTGGCGACTGACATTTCCATCAAGCAAGTTGACTTGTGTGCGGCAAAAGATGTACGTTGTTATTAGCCTTTATTGGCATAGGTTTAAACAATAAAATCGTAAAATCATCCAAATGCATTGATAATCCAAACACATACAATATATAAAAGACTAGATAGCCACCACTGAATAAACCAGGCAGCTTTAGAGATTTGTCTTGTCCTTCTGCACTGCTGTGCAAATCATGGACATCTTAGTCCTCCACCATCACATCAAGGCAAGTAAGTGCAGGGCTGAGTACAGATATATTTGACACTGCAGCAACCTTTCCACAGGCCTCCCAAACGGAGTTCACAGACCACAGTTCTTGCATACTGGGACAAGTGAATCATTGTAAGAGCAAACTACAACCAAGCAATGTAGTTGAGATAACAGAATCCTAGAACTGGAAGGGACCCCGAGGGTCATCATGTCCAACCCCCTGGCAAATACACATTCTGTTGTGGTGATGGTAACTCAGGTTTAAGGGGCCTTTGGGTGCCTAGCTTATATATATATGAGTTTCTAGCACCCCCGGTCTCTCACAGCCCTGCCATTTTCCCAATGCGCCACCATCTGGAACAGAATTCCCCTTCTGTGCTTGGGGAAGGCATCTGTGTCGTCGCCCGGACTATTTTGCCTCGCTTTGTCCTGCTCTATTTCCTCTCGTTCCTCTCCCTTCCCACCCCCCTCTTTTGTACCATTCCCAAAGGGCTCCTTTCTCCCGCGCTCTGCACATGAGCAGGAGCCCCCTTCTTCCTCCCTCTCCGCCCCTCGAGGCGCCCAACGGCCCTTCTTCCCCCGCCCGCCGCGCGCCTCCGCCTCACCTCCTCCATGGCTGGAACAGGGGCCCCACCAAGCGGTCTCGCGCATGCGCCGCCCAGCACCGCCCCCGCCCCGGAGTTGACGCCGAAGCGGCGACGCTCGGCTCGCCCAATCAGAACCGCGCCGGCCGCGCTGCTCTCATCGCCCCGCCCCCGAAGCTTCTGACCTTAATCGTCACTGCTCCGCGCCCAGCCCAGCCAATAGTCGCAACGCGCCCGTACAGGAAGCGGAAGAGGGAGAACTCTGGGAGGGGGAGATGGAAACGGAAGAGGCGCGTCTCGTTTTTCTGGATGCGCAGTTTCCGGGTTCAGTTTCGGAGAAGCCGTGCTGTGGTTTTTTCTGCGAGGGCGAAAGCGAAGGCTGCCTGTGGAATTATAGTCATATAGAATTTATATGTTCATTTATGCAAGATAGATAGATAGATAGATAAGATATTGCACTTCTATCCCACCTCTTTCTCCAAGGACCGCAAGGTGGCCTGCGTGGCTCTCCCGCCTTCCTCCTCCATAGGGTAATAGAATTGTATAATAATAATAATTTATTATTTATACCCCGCCCATCTGGCTGAGTTTCCCCAGCCACTCTGGGCGGCTCCCAATCAGTGTTAAAAACAGTACAGCGTTACATATTAAAAACTTCCCTGAACAGGGCTGCCTGTTGTAGAGTTGGAATGGGCCCCTCAAGAGTCATCTAGTCCAACTCCCTGCGATGTAGGAACCCCCACAACTCCTCTGTTGGAAGGTCAGCCTGAGGCAGTGACTGTGAGCCAGGGCCACTCCCAGTGAAGTTCGTGGGCAGAGAGGGAGGATTGGAACCGTGATCTCTACCAGGCCCTAGTGGAAACGCTTTTAACCACTTCAGGTCCTTCAAAAATGTTTTTCCCACCCCACCGCCCTACTTTAAATATTAAGTCCCCCACAGTTGCAAATAGAGTCCGTTGTACCTCCATATTTCAGAGGACGAGGAGGAGCAGTGGTGGCTGAGGAAACGTAAGAATATATGGAGAGCCAGGCTGGATCAGCAGTTGCAGATGAGAAATCTGTAATTGCATTGAGCCCAGCATCCTGTTCTGGCAGTGGCGGATCAGATGCCCCAATGGGACGCCCACAAGCAAGATCTGAGCACAAGAGCACGTTCTCCCCTCCTGTGACTTTCAGCAACACATTCAGAAGCATTGCTCTCTCCAGCTGTGGAGGCAGAGCATAGCCACAATGGCTACTAGCCATCAATAGCCTAATTCTCCATAAATTTGTCCAATCCTCTTTTAAAGCCATCCATGTTGGCGGCCATCACTGCCATCCACACGACTTAGATTGACAGAGGTTGAAACTGAAGGAGTGCTGTTTGACTGGGCAATAGTGTCCACCATTATTATATATATTCAACAACATCCAGTGTACCTTTGCCAATCTGGTGCTCTCCAGAGGTTTTGTACTAAAACATCCACTGAAACTCTTCCTGTTCTGGTTGGCAAAGACTTCTATGTAATGTAAGGCATAATTTTGTACATAATCAGACTCCCAGTTTTAAATATATGTTTAGTAAAGGAAATGCAGGCTATGGGGCTGCAAAACTGAACTGTAATGGTGGGGAGAATTAACTCTTCCACAGTGGCTTAATTTTTTTTCCTTTCACAGCTTCCTTTCCATTTCAGCCTTCTGGAGTCTTATTTCTCCCCCATAGGTGGGAAAGTGTGCAGGGCAGGGGGGATTTTACTACAGAAATGCCAACCAAGAAAGGATTGATTTCACTCCCACCTGCATTTCTTCCCAAATCTTCCCTCACATACAAATGTAAGGCTGTCATCGCTCAGCCCTATGAAGCATCTCATCACAATTCTTGATTTGCATGGGCTGGGGAGGAGAGCATAAGAGAAGGCAAGCTGAACAGCAGCAGAGGTTTGAATAAAGGAAACTCAGAGCAGCAATTATAAGGAGAAAAGTTTGTGGGGAGCCCTAAAACCTTATGATTAGCTGCAGCAAAGATTCAGAAAGGCAGAGTCTGTTATATATCCCCTGCTGTTACAGTCTTAATTGGTTTGGGAGATGGACCCTATAGGCAAATGAAAAGATTCTCAATGGCACAAGATCTGGTCCACTCCTCCTCCAAGTCCACTGGTTTTTAACACAGGTTCAGCTAGCTCATATTCTAAGAGCCAGCTCCTCCTTATGGTGTCAGGGTTTTAAGGTACAAAGAACATATTGGCATATGTGGTAGCGCTGTAACTATGTACACAAGTTCTGGAAGCTGGTTGTAAATTGGTATTATTGTTGGCAAACAGGTCACCGTGGTTTTTTATCCATTTTATCCAGCATAGCCATCCAAGTTTATCCATCCAAGTTGTGTTTTTTATCCATTTCTGATGGTGCCAATGCTTACTTCTCGGTATCTGTTGGTTGCTGCTCATTTAGTGATCTCTCAAGGATGAAAGGACACATCCTGTTACTCTCTGGATTTGTGGATTTAATAGTCATGCTTATTGCCATTTCTGAAAAACTGACTCATAAAATCCTTGCTGCCAGAGGTCATGCAGACTCCTCAATTTCTTCTGCTTGGGACTGTTTCTACTAAATTTGAGTTTATTTGGCATTAATGATTATTTGATATGCTTTGTATAAATATGAACCTTATATTTCACTCTGGAATATATCTTATGCTACTGATTATTATTCTGTCATCTTGTTTTTAATTCCTCTTGCTCTTAAAATAATACAAGTTATTCAGGGAAGCAAACTTATTTGACAGAATGCCTGGTTTTAATAATTATTTTAACTGTGTTATGTATTTTATTTTGTCTTAGGTATATTTTTTTGTAACCACTTAAACTTCACAAATAAATAATATTCATTTGTATATAACCTCCCACAGTACATACTATTCATAAAAAACAACAACACAACCAAATGTGGTTGCTAACCACAGTATTAATATGTTTGGTTTGGCCCTCAGTTATCATGAGCAAGTCAAACTTTGCATTATAGTGTTGAAAATTCCTAATGGCAAATACTCCTAATGAAAACTCCTAATGGCAAAGCAATGACAAACCTAGACAGCATCTTAAAAAGTAGAGACATCACCTTGCCAACAAAGGTCTGTATAGTTAAAGCTATGGTTTTCCCAGTAGTGATGTATGGAAGTGAAAGCTGGACCATAAAGAAGGCTGATCACCGAAGAATTGATGCTTTTGAATTATGGTGCTGGAGGAGACTCTTGAGAATCCCATGGACTGCAAGAAGAACAAACCTATCCATTCTGAAGGAAATCAGCCCTGAGTGCTCACTGGAAGGACAGATCCTGAAGCTGAGGCTCCAAGACTTTGGCCACCTCATGAGAAGAGAAGACTCCCTGGAAAAGACCCTGATGTTGGGAAAGATGGAGGGCACAAGGAGAAGGGGACGACAGAGGACGAGATGGTTGGACAGTGTTCTCGAAGCTACCAGCATGAGTCTGACCAAACTGCAGGAGTGCCTGGCGTGCTCTGGTCCAGGGGGTCACGAAGAGTCGGACACGACTAAACGACTAAACAACAACAACAATGGCAAATATGCCCAACAATGAAACACAAAGTGAGCATCATTAAACTTTATTGTAGAGAACTGACTGATAGGCTATTGCGTTAATTTGGATTAAAATCAGCACAGAAGAATGTCCCAGGAACACTTTTCATAACATGGAAACCAAGTACATAACCAACTTCTTATCCAGTAGTGATGTTGGCCTGTGAGACATTATTATACACATTACACATAATAAAAAAAATATTTCCATCAATTTAAGCAATAGTATAATTCTCCATGAAATAAGCATTTCTATAAACATTTTATGTTAAATTCAAAAATGTAACAAATGTTTTTTTTTGCACTTTAGAAAGATATAAAACAAGTATGATTTCCAGACAGACACAGGAATCTTCTGAAAAATTTGTTCTGCCAGTCAAAGGTGAAGGTCACCTTCCATCAAAGCATTTTGGACACATTTTACCAGGACCAAGAATGTCTTCTACACAAGCCCTGTGCAAAAGAGCAAAGGGTGCAATCCACTAGGAAGTTCACCTCTGCTAGCTTTGATTAATTTTGAAGGTGAGTGCTCCAAAGAGCTTTTGTGAGATTGGCAAAAGAGAACAGAGGTGTGGGAAAGAGCTATTTCCCTTATTTGCAATATACGGCATAAGTTACGGAATGCTTAAAGGCAGCATTAAAGTAGAGGTGGTTTTATGCATGTTCTCGTTTAGTAGCTTTACAAGATTTTTTTTTTTTAATTACTGTTGTTCCACTTGTTATAGATGTGGCCTGAGACTCAGGCCTTAAACAACAGGTGCATCTTGGCAGGGTGCAACAAGAGCTGTAAACCTTTGAACTGATCTACCAGGAAATGCTCTGGCATTATAATAAATGTGCTTTTTCTTCATTATTTTACCCTGCCCTCTCTCTCTTCTCCCAAAGTGGGGGAAAACTGTCTTATAAATAATTATGAATATTTTTTAGCAACATATGGAACACATAGTTCTGAATTATTTGCTCCCCATACTTGAACTTCTAGGCATACAAAATAACATGTAAAATATGAAGGTACCAGGATGTGGCAAGGCAGCTGGGAACGAGTATTCCACATATAACAGGATTCTTTAAATAACTTCCCTTCGGAAAGGGCCACATCAGAACAAATAAAAGACACTGAAGGAACTGGTTTGCAGGCTGGCTCTCCTGCCTGTCTCCCGCTTCCCCCTTTGAACAGGTGCTATTGGGTGAATATCCAAGGGGTTTCAAGCTGCTTTGTCCATTGTGCTCTTGGTGCTTGGAATCCAGCTGGAACTATGTGCTGCCCTCTTTGGGCGACGACAGCTGAGCCTGCTGTAGTGGCTGTGTGCCAGTAGCTGTTTTGATAGAGTTCAGGGTTTTGCTAAACCAAGAGTTCTTGGCAGCTTGGATTTCACTCATAAGTGCTCCTCTCTGGTGTTCTAGCTCCTGTGAAATGAAAGCAGTCCAGTGCTGATCAGAGAACTATTCAGCAGGGCTTAGACATTTGAGTCATCTTTTGCTGAAATTAACCAGCTTAATAAAAATTGTTGCCAAGTTTATGGATAATTGTCTATGTACAACTTCAGTGATAAACACAGCAATAACAT